TGGAAATTAGGAGGTGTGGAGCTACTAAAAGTATTACTCAGAGGGTTGAAGTGGGGTTGTTGAGGTGGTTTGGTCATTTAGAGAGAATGGAATAAAGTAGAATGACTTGGAGAGCATATAAATCTGTAGAGGAAGGAAGGCAGGGTAGGGGTCATCCTAGAAAAGGTTGGAGGGAGGTGGTAAAGGAGGTTTTGTGGGCGAGGGGCTTGGACTGCCAGCAAGCGTGTGCGAGCGTGTTAGATAGGAGTGAATGGAGAAGAATAGTTTTTGGGACCTGATGAGCCATTGGAGTGAGAGTAGAGTAATATTTTGTGAAAGGATTGAGGGAAACCAGTTAGCAGGACTCAAGTCCTGGAAATAGGAAGTACAATGCCTGTACTTTAAAGGAGGGGTTTGGGATATTGGTAGTTTGGAGGGACATCTAAACTGTCGTATCTGAGCGCTTCTGTATAGACAGTGATTATGCATGAGTGATGGTGAAAGTGTTGAATGATGACAAAAGTTTGTTCTTTCTTTCTGGGTCAGCGTGCCTCAGTGGGAAACGAAAGAAGTGTTAAAAAGCTTTTACCTAGGCCAGTCCAATAATTGAAGAAGATTCAGTAAGAACCAATAAAACAGGATTGAAGGATGTGCACCCACTGCATTCCCTTATGTCTACGTCAATATTTACTCATCGCAGCATATTTATACCTTTGATATACCTTTGAAGAATTTCGAGAGTACATCTACTCTCTGAGCCCGGCCATGGGCCAGGCTCATCTGGTGCTCGCCTGGTCAACCAGGCTGTTGCTGCTGGAGGCCTGCTGCCCGACATATCCATCACAGCCTGGTTGATCTGGCACCTGAAGATACGTGTCTAGTTTCCTCGGGACCCCGGATGTTGATACAGTGTTCCCTTATTGTCCCCACTGCACCCCTGCTCCTCACTGGGTTTATTTTACACTTCCTCCCATATCTCTCACTCCAATACGTATGCTGTTATGGCAGTGTGCAGATTTGGGACCAAGCCCTCAAGTACCTTCCAAGTATATATTATCATGTACCTCTCTCTCCTCCGCTCCATTGAGTACATGTTCAAGACTTGCAGGCGTTTCCAGTAGTTTAGGTGCTTTACTGGCTCAATGTGAGCCGTAAACGATCTCTGTATTTGTTCCAGCTCCGATATTTCTCCTGCCCTGAACGGGGCTGTCAGCACTGAGCAATATTCTAAGTGAGGGAGCACTAGCGATTTGAAGAGTGTCACCATCGGCATTGTTTCCCTTGTTTTGAAAGTTCTCAGTACCCACCCAATCATCTTCCTGGCTGTCGTGATCTTTGTCTTGTTATGGTCTTTACAAGAAAGGTCTGCTGACATAATTATTCCTAGGTCTTTTACGTGTTCCTTACGTTCTATTTGGTGACCCTCTTGAGTTTTGTATATAGTGCTCCTTTTGAGTTCTTCATTCTTTCCATCCCTAAGCAGCTGGAACTTATCACCATTGAACGTCATGTTGTTTTCCACTGCCCACTGGAAAACCCTATTTATGTTTTCCTGTACTTTTTCAGTGTCCTCTACCGTACTGACTTTCATGCTTATTTTAGTGTCATCTGCAAGTGATGATACAAAAGTGTGCTGGGTGTTTTTGTCTATGTCTGCTATGAGGATGAGGAACAGCAGAGGTGCCAGGACAGTGCCCTGAGGCACTGAGCTTTTGACCTCGCTGATGCTGGATTTTGCCCTGTTCACTAAAACTTTTTGTGTTCTGTGTGTTAGGAAACCAAAAATCCATCTGCCTACCTTCCCCGTAATGCCCATGGCCTTCATTTTGTGCGCTATCACTCCATGATCGCATTTGTCAAACGCCTTTTCAAAATCTGTGTAAATCACATCTGCATTTTGGTCGTCTTCCAGTGCCTCCGTAATTCTGTCATAATGGTTCAGCAGCTGTGACAGACATGATCGTCCTGTTCTAAAACCATGCTGGTTCGGGTTATGTTGGTTGTGCTGCTCCATGAAATTTGTAACCTGCCATCTCATCACTCTTTCCAAGATTTTTATGATGTGAGAGGTTAGGGCTACTGGTCTGTAATTTTTAGCTAGTACTCTACTACCTCCCTTGTGCAAAGGAGCTATGTCTGCACTCTTTAACTCTTTCAGGGTCGACAGGCCCTGTCAGAGACTTGTTCTCAGGGTCGGCCAAATTTCAAAAAAGAAAAAAAATTTATTTTTTTCTTATGAAAAAATAGTTTATTTTTCTAAACATTATAGGCTAAACAAAAAATTTTTACCATCAATACTTACTGAGATATGGAGGAGTGAAGTTGACAAAAAAGGGGTACCATGTGGCAACATCGCCGACTGCCATCACCCGGTATTCTTTTATTTACTTTATGTACTAATTTCTATTATTTTTTAATTTTTCTTTTTCCAAGTAACTTTTATGGACTGTGAGACCAATATGATCAGTATTTTGTAAGTTATTTCTTTTTCAATACTACACAATAAGGGCGTAAACACTGTTGTCATTGTTTTGTTTACAAAAAATATTTACACAAACAAACGATATGAAATGTTGTTTATTACAATTTTTCTATATTTTATATACACATATACAGTCACAGGGAATGTTTCTAGAAGTTGTGCAGCCTGTGGAAGTCTTTGAAACATGGTGTCATGCACAGTGGTATTTTACATTCCTCACACATAAAATGAGTGTCAAAACCTCACCAAAACCTTGAAACTCATCTTCACTGGCACTTCCATCTGTATTAGAACTGTCACTAAGGAACAAAAGTGTCCCAATTCGCCGAGGAGTGAGGAACTTCTTACCGCTAGGCATGGTGGACATTGTTTACTAAGATGGCGTTCCCACAATGCACCACTGGGTCCCAGATTTTTTTTCTACCGCGCACACCCACCACACACACCCATTCTCTCACAACTAGGCCTACCAGCCTTTTCCCGCGAGATCTGACAGCACTAGAATTTATGTGTACCAGTACGTCAAAAAACCCTGCGTGTAAGCCGTATTAGTACGGCCGAAACCCTGAAAGGGTTAAGGCTTCCGTTATTTCACCTAGATTTAAGCTCTTTCTCCAAAGAATACTGAGGGCTCGTGCTAGTGGTACTTTGCACTTCTTTATAAATAGAGCATTCCACGAATCTGGTCCAGGTGCTGAGTGAGTGGGCATGTTTTCCACTTCTTTTTCTAAATCTATGGGATTTGTACTAACATCAGTTAGTTGGTCTGTGCGGCCTTCTGGAGTGAAAAATATTTCTGTATTTTCTACCTTGCTGTCATTTAGTGGGTTGCTGAACATTGACTCATACTGTTCTTTTAGGATTTCACTCATTTCCTGTTCATCGTCAGTATATGAGTCTCCTCTCAGTAGTGGTCCAATTCTACAGGCAGTTCTTAGCTTGGATTTTGCATAGGAATAGAAATATTTTGGGTTTCTTGCAATATCCTGTATGGCCTTTTGTTCCCTTTGTACTTCTGTGAGGTATGACATCCTAAGTTTTTGCTCTAATTCAGTGATCTCTCTGCTAAGTCTATCTTTCCTCTGTTGTAGCATATCAGTGTTTTTAGGTTCAGTAACCAGTTTTCTTCTTCTGTACCATCTCCTACGCTCTCTCTCTATATCTGATCTTCCTCTGGGTTTCCTCAATGGTACATGTTTCATACATACTTTGTATGCTTCTGTATTCAGTTTCTCTAGGCACTGGTGGGGATTTAGGGTGCTCATGTCTGATTCCCAGGGTGTGTCTGATACCTCTTGGAAATTAGGAGAAGGTGTGGAGTTAATAAAAGCATTAGTCAGAGGGCACAAGAGGGGTTGTTGAGGTGGTTTGGTCATTTAGAGAGAATGGATCAAAGTAGAATGACATGGAAAGCATATAAATCTATAGGGGAAGGAAGGAGGGGTATGGGTCGTCCTCGAAAGGGTTGGAGAGAGGGGGTAAAGGAGGTTTCGTGGGCGAGGCTTGGACTTCCAGCAAGCGTGCGTGAGCATGTTAGATAGGAGTGAATGGAGACGAATAATACTTGGGACCTGACGATCTGTTAGAGTGCGAGCAGGGTAATATTTAGTGAAGGGACTCGGGGAAACCGGTTATTTTCATATAGTCGGACTTGAGTCCTGGAAATGGGAAGTACAATGCCTGCACTTTAAAGGAGGGGTTTGGGATATTGGCAGTTTGGAGGGATATGTTGTGTATCTTTATACGTATATGCTTCTAAACTGTTGTATTCTGAGCACCTCTGCAAAAACAGTGATAATGTGTGAGCGTGGTGAAAGTGTTGAATGATGATGAAAGCATTTTCTTTTTGGGGATTTTCTTTCTTTTTTGAGTCACCCTGCCTCGGTGGGTGATGGCCGACTTGTTGAAAAAAAAAAAAATTCTATGGTTGTTAAAATTAAACTTACTGAACATCCCGTCTCTAACTTTAGCGATGCAGTTGAGGGTGTTATGTTGAAGACATAGTTCAACATAAGGGACACGTGCTTAATGAGAGATCTGAGAGCCAGTGAAAGGGTTAATAACCTTTTTAAGCAATATTCATCTTCATTCAAACATAAAGAACATGGATTTATTCTATTTATCTTGTACAATTGTGGTACATTTTGCTAACCAATATCTTTCTAGTAAATACTCCAGTTTTAATATTTGCAAACTTTTTCCTTAGTAGCTTATAAACTTATTGTACATTATAACAGGTAATAGATCTACAGCAAGACTGACTAATGGCTTATAACCCATAACGGTACCAAAGTGAACCTAAAACAAAGCATTTTCTGCCTGTCAATGTTTAAAGATTTTAATACTGAACCAAAAACATTTATTATGCAGCACAGATTACCATAGATTTGGTTTTACATATTAGCAGGGAACAATTTTGGAAACAAGCATTCTGCACAATAAATCAAATTATTTAAGGTTACTCTACATTCATTCAAGCTTTTTTAATAAAAAGCAACAAAATAAAAAAAAATATACCATCCATTTCCACTGTACGTACTTATTAAGGGAATGTGGCGATGATGCCCCATCCATGGACTGAGGTGGCGAAAGTGCCTGAAGGTCATTCATGCCAGAGAAACTGTGGAACCTCTTGTACAGTGCCTTCTCTTGACCCACCATCTTGCATGAGTAACTTTCCAGTCTGCAAAATGAAACATCATTAGTACATTAAGAATAAAAAGACAATACTGTGAGCAGAGCAACACACAAACAACTCACACTTAAGAGATTAAACCTTACGATGACATTTCAATTATGACATTTTGTCATAAGTTTGTGTCCTGAGTGTGGGTTATTTGTGAATTAGTTTGGAAAATAATGCTGCAAATGCATTTTCAAAAGAACAAATTTTTTACTTGAAGAATCAATACTTGCAGATATGTACATGTATATGAAAATCCAACTTCCATAGTATGCCGTATGTTCAAACATTCAACTGAAAAACAAACAAGAGTATGTGTACTTCAACACAGGCATTAATTTAGTTTCTTAAAATTACATATACAGTAGGGCCCCACTTATATGGCAGGTTAAGTTCCAGGCCACTGCTGTAAAGTGGAACACCTTTTTTTTTTCCACTTATAAATGCATATAAATACTAGATAGGGTGGATAGGGGGGCAATGTGGCAGATGTTGCAGGTGTATGGTGTAGGAGGTAGGTTACTGAAAGCAGTGAAGAGTTTTTACGAGGATAGTGAGCCTCAAGTTAGAGTATGTAGGAAAGAGGGAAATTATTTCCCAGTAAAAGTAGGCCTTAGACAAGGATGTGTGATGTCACCATGGTTGTTTAATATATTTATAGATGGGGTTGTAAATGCGAGGGTCTTGGCAAGAGGCGTGGAGTTAAAAGATAAAGAATCACACAAAGTGGGAGTTGTCACAGTTGCTCTTTGCTGATGACACTGTGCTCTTGGGAGATTCTGAAGAGAAGTTGCAGAGACTGGTGGATGAATTTGGTAGGGTATGCAAAAGAAGAAAATTAAAAGTGAATACAGGAAAGAGTAAGGTTATGAGGATAACAAAAAGATTAGGTGATGAAAGATTGGATATCAGATTGGAGGGAGAGAGTATGGAGGAGGTGAATGTATTCATATATTTGGGAGTGGACGTGTCAGCGGATGGGTCTATGAAAGATGAGGTGAATCATAGAATTGATGAGGGGAAAAGGGTGAGTGGTGCACTTAGGAGTCTGTGGAGACAAAGAACTTTGTCCTTGGAGGCAAAGAGGGGAATGTATGAAAGTATAGTTTTACCAATGCTCTTATATGGGTGTGAAGCATGGGTGATTAATGTTGCAGCGAGGAGAAGGCTGGAGGCAGTGGAGATGTCATGTCTGAGGGCAATGTGTGGTGTGAATATAATGCAGAGAATTCGTAGTTTGGAAGTTAGGAGGTGTGAGATTACCAAAACTGTTTTCCAGAGGGCTGAGGAAGGGCTGTTGAGCTGGTTCGGACATGTAGAGAGAATGGAGCGAAACAGAATGACTTCAAGAGTGCATCAGTCTGTAGTGGAAGGAAGGTGGGGTAGGGGTCAGCCTAGGAAAGGTTGGAGGGAGGGGGTAAAGGAGGTTTTGTGTGCGAGGGGCTTGGACTTCCAGCAGGCATGCGTGAGCGTGTTTGATAGGAATGAATGGAGACAAATGGTTTTTAATACTTGATGTGCTGTTGGAGTGTGAGCAAAGTAACATTTATGAAGGGGCTCAGGGAAACGGCGGGCCGGACTTGAGTCTGGAGATGGAAGTACAGTGCCTGCATTGAAGGGGGTAATTTGCAGTTTAAAAACTGTAGTGTAAAGCACCCTTCTGGCAAGACAGTGATGGAGTGAAGATGGCTGCAAGCTTTCTTTTTCAGGCACCTTGGGGTGTTAATCGGCAGTGTGAAAATAAAAAAAAAATACTGAGATAACAGTACACTAATATATATTAGTGCAAGATTAGTGATTAAAAAAAGTAATAATACAGTATACGTAGTAATCATTACTTACCTTAAATATTGTGTCTTAATCTTGGTGAGATGGCAGTAGTAATTATTTAAGAAAATCAAGTGTGGTATGTAGTGGTAGCCAGCAGGCTACCATACCAGGCCAACCACCACATTAATCATTCTAAACATAAGCGTACAGAGCGAAAAAGATATACAGTTCACTCATTACTTACCTTAAAATATTTTTAGTCTTAATGTAGGGTCAGAGTGAGTAGTAGTTTAATTGAGAAATAAGTGAGAGATGTATGGAGAGCCAGGCTACAAGAGGCAGACGACAGAAGAGATTCAAGAATTGAAGGAAGAGGATAAAATGAAGAGAAATTATGAGTAAAAATTTAGTCTAGAGTAGGGCAGAGGGAGTAAAGAGATAAAGAGGCAAAGAGAGAGAGAGAGAGAGAGAGAGAGAGAGAGAGAGAGAGAGAGAGAAGAGAGAGAGAGAGAGAGGAGAGAGAGAGAAGAGAGAGAGAGAGAGAGAGAGAGAAAGAGAGGAGAGAGAAGAGAGAGAGAAAGAGAGAGAAGAGAAGAAGAGAGAGAGAAATGGAGAGAGAAATGGAGAGAGAAATGGAGAGAGAAATGGAGAGAGAAATGGAGAGAGAAATGGAGAGAGAAATGGAGAGAGAAATGGAGAGAGAAATGGAGAGAGAAAGGGAGAGAAAGGGAGAGAAAGGGAGAGAAGGAGAGGAAGAGAAAGGGAGAGAAAGAGAAAGGGAGAGAAAGAGAAAGGGAGAGAAAGGGAGAGAAAGGGAGGGAGAGAGAGAGAGAGAGTACATGAGAGAGGACACTTGCAGAGTTATGTAAACAAACCAGGCAAATGCCAGTTTTGTAAACAAACCTAGCAAACATGTCTGGTTTGTGTACAAATTACACCGTGTACAAGTTGTCTCTACATTGATACGATAGAATAAATAAAGAGGAACATTCCCATTCTCATGTAACACCATTTTTTTAGAAGAAATGACACTCTGAGTGAAGGCATATGAAAGGAATAATTTTCTAGAGTTACCTCCAGTAACGCATTTTCTCTTATGTTGGACTAGAGAAAACGTTATTCTTGCTGTCACTCGTACAAGTTGTCTGGCGGCTACCACATCTCATATTTATGTTTATTTATTCTACTGTGGGGTGTATTTATCTTTATATGTTATGTATCATGTTTATTATACACACCTACAATTCGACTTACGACTGAGCTTGGTTCCGACCAACTGGTCATAAGTCAAAATGGATGTAAGTCGAACCTTACTACTGAATATCAACCTCACATTTTTGTAATGACTATATTTTATTGTTTTATTCTGGTACACCTACCATCCGACTTACGACCAAGTTCGGTTCCGAGAAACCGGTCGTAAGTCGAAATGGTCTTAAGTCGAACTTTACTACTGAATATCAACAAGACATTTTTGTAATGACTATTTTATTGCTTTATTTTGGTATTTCATGTTTTACTTTACTTTTTATGCTGTTAGTACTGTATTTTATACTGTAAGGTTTAGGATAAACACTGTGTACAACACAAATAGTTGTTTATTTTCCAGAAATTTGGCATAAAAAACACGGTCGTAAGTCAAGTGGTTGTAAGTCGAGCAGGTCGTAAGTCGGATGGTAAGCGTATTTCATTTTTTACATTACTTTTTATGCTGTTAGTACATACTGTGTTTTATACTGTAAGGTTTAGGATAAACACTGTGTACATCACAAACAGTTGTTTATTTCCCAGAAATTTGGCATACAAAACACAGTCATAAGTCGAGTGGTCGTATGTCGAGCAGGTCATAAGTTGGATGGTAGGTGTAATTTTGAAAAAAATATCATAGATGGATTAACGAAAATGTGTATATTAACATAATATACGACATTTAATGAGACTTGGTGATTATTATTGAGTATTATTATCATCATTACTAATATGGCGTCTTGAGACATAAGACACTCTTACTGCACACCAGCACAGTAAGTTTATTTAGGTACAGGTATACATAAATATAATTATATAAAATATATATATGAAATATGAAATAACTTTTAAAAACACTTGAAATTTTGGAGTTTCCAGACATAATGGAGAGATGTGGAGCTTACGGAACTCACGGAAAATGAACAAGTCGAGTGGGGCACGGTGATTGTATTAGAATGTCAGGTGGGGGGAGCCGTATGGCAAGTTTTGGTCATAATTTGAAATGTCCGTAATAGCGGAATGCCATAAAGCGGAACGCCATAAAGCAGGGCCCTACTGTACAGTAGAAACCCGTAAGACACAATCAAAACTCACATTTTCAATATTATGCTATTTAAATTTAAGTTTTCAAATCCAACAGAAGTACACCCGTTTCCAGTAAGGTGTGTGGGAGCAGAATTCATTTCCATTAACCCTTAAACTATCCAAACGTAGATCTACGTTTGTGCTCATGGCACTCCGAACGTAGATCTACGTTTTTTTCTTTTTACATAAAACAATGTAAAATCAAATGCAGATCTACATTCAGAGTGCTACACACACAAACGTAGATCTATGTTTGGACAGTTTAAGGGTTAAGGAGAGGTGCATCAGGCAGGCCTGAGACCTCCTTAATATACTTTAGGTAACTCATTGTCCTAGCACTGTAGGATTGGGTTTGCAGGAGGGTGAGGGGATGTAAACAAACCAGTCTCCCATGCTGGTCAGTGTACCTGGTTGTATACCACAAGATTTTAGCTCAGTGCACATTACACATTTTTCCTTCTCTGTATATTTATCATGGCTTCTCATGTCTGTATAGTATTTATCATGGCTTCTAAACAAAGTGCGGGTGACATTGGTAAAGCAAGGAAGAAGACTAAGCATGAAACTATGCCTATTACAAAAAACTGGAGGTAACGTAGATGCTGAAGGGAGGAGCACACATCAAGGAGATGGCGTGTTTGGTGTTAGATAATCAACAATTCAGTCAATATGAGACAATAAGGTAAGAATAAGAGGGCTTGTGCAATGAGTAATTCTCAGGGTGACACAGTGAAAAGAATGAGAAATAGGTCCAGATTCACCCTCTCCATTCATTTTATCATGTTAAACATCCTCAGCTCCACTTGAAGGTAAATAACAAAGTACAGTATTAATATACCAATTTTTTTTTTGGCTACTGTGTCCTGTTTTAACTGGTATAAACCTTGGTAATAAAT